CTTAATTCTTGGTTTTGCTACTTAATGTCTTCCAATGACTTTCAAACTTAACCACATCATCAAAAATCATAAAATAAGATCTACTACAAAGTTTCATAACATTTGGAGGTCATCTAAGTCATGAACCATAGGTAGATATCCTTAGGGGCATTATGGTCATTTTGCACTGTTTCTTGGTTTACCTACTTATCCTTATCTAATGACCATCAAATTTCATATATAATCTCCATATGAATCTGCTCAGCATTAAAATTTCATGGGCAGCGGAGTTCATCTAGTGGGTTATTTTAACGTTATCTAAATCCCGAGCAACTTGATCGGTATAGGGCCTTAACTCACGCTTGATGATGTGTTTGCACATCTAATAGCATTTGAAGCTCGCCAACTACAATACCAGGCTGAATTTTAGTTAAATCCAAGATCTTCGACCAATTATGCTGGTCGTTGTGGTCAACCGAAGAACCGTGGGCATGGGGATCTTGGTCGTGGCTGTTATCGGGGTGGTGCACCCTCTCGTCCTGCTGGTGATCGTCGTTACCCTTCTATCCGTCCTTCCTGCCATATCTGCGGTAAAGTGGGGCATACTGCCATTCGCTGGTGGTATAGGATGGATGAGTCCTATCAAGATGAACCTTCTTCTACGGTACTGGCGGCTACTTCCTCCTACAAAATTAATCCAAATTGGTACAGTGATACAAGCACCACTAATCATATCACCAGTGACCTAGATCGTCTCGCTGTGCATGAACACTATCATGGAGGTGAACAAGTTCAAGTCGAAAATGGAGCAGGTTTGTGGATTTTGCATACTAGTCCTCTTGCTTTGTGTAATATTTTGCATGTGCCTGAAATTTCCGAACATCTTCTTCCCGTTCATAAATTTTTCCATGATAATGACGTATTCTTTGAATACCATCCTTGGCATTTTTATCTTAAGGATCGACGGTCGAGGAAAATTCTTCAAGATGGGAGGTGTGAGTCTGGTCTTTATCCTATCAAGCCATCTGATGTCGATGATCTCAAACACGCCTTAGTGAGCATATCTACTACTCACGCCAAATGGCATGCACGTCTTGGACATCCTTCATCTCAAGTAGTGAAGTCAATTTTCCGTCTCAATAATATTTTGTGTGCTAGTGAGTCACCTTTGTCAGTTTGTAATGCATGTCAGTTAGCATAAAGTCATCAATTACCATATACGAGTTCTTTTCATCGGTCATCGTCACCTTTGGAACTAATTTTTTCAGATGTTTGGGTTCCTGAACCTCTATCTGTTGGGGGCTTTAAATATTATATCAGCTTAATTGATGATTTTAGTAAATTTGATGCATGATCGTACAAAAGCTCCTCGTATACTTTTGCAATTACAAGCTCATGTTGAGCGCCTCCTAGATACTAAAATCAAGTGTGTCAGATTGGGGTGGGGAATATCAAAAAATTCATAACACATTCTTTCATTCCCTTGGAATTGCTCATCGTGTTTTGTGCCCTCACATGCATTAACAAAATGGATCTATTGAATGCAAGCACCGTCATATTGCTGAAACAGACCTAGCCCTTCTAGCTCATGTTGATGTGTCTATTAAATTTTGTAATGACGCATTTCTTACCGCCACATATCTCATCAATCGTCTTCCTACTCGTGTCATCGATAACAAATGCCCCTTAAAGCATCTTTTTCATACCCGCTAAATTACTCCTTATTAAAAGTTTTTAGGTGTGCTTGTTAACCTCATCTTCACCCTTATAACAAACCAAAGCTCTCTTTTTGATCCAAGGAATGTGTCTTTCTAGGCAACAGTTCTTTACATAAAGGGTATAAGTGTCTTGACACCAATTCTGGTCATATCTATATTTCTAGAGATGTCATATTTGATGAAAATATTTTTCCGTTCAAGAGGTAGCCCCACCTAGTTCTTCCCCAACCTTGCAACTAATGCACAATGGCCCTGATTTGCATACCTTGGATTTGGGTAACATAAGTACTAATTTGGAGAATGATTATATGCATATATTTGTGCTTACTAACTCTTTGGATGCAGAAAATCTGGTGCCCACATCAGGTTCGAGATTGTTCCGCCAATGATTGGGGCCTCGGATCCTCCACCAACAAATGATATTCCCGCATCACCTGGGCCTTGCTCGGATTCTCTAGGCTCCCCTCGCAACGGTCGGTACGATTGTCCCCTCAGCTGTGGATCCTGCACCTACTGTTCATCTGTATGGTACTCGATTGAAGCACAATATCAAGCAACCCAAGGTGCGTACAAATGGTACAGTAACATATTTTGTGGTTCGCTTCTGCCTGTGAACCTACTTCACATATTACTGCTATGGAGCATCCCCTCTAACGTCAGGCAATGAATGATGAATTTCAGGCACTTTTAAAAAATAAGACATGACACTTAGTTCCTCCTCATGCTGGTCTTAACGTTATTGATTGCAAATGGGTTTTCAAACTCAAGAAAAATTCAAATGTCTCTTTTGATCCCTACAAAACATGCCTGGTTGCTAAAGGGTTTAAACAACAATATGGCGTTGATTATGATGATACCTTCAGTCCAGTTGTTAAGCTCACTACCATTCGGCTCTTATTATCTCTTGTTGTTTCTCATGGTTGGGTTATTCGGTTGATTGGTATTCAGAATGCTTTTCTTCATAGCCTTCTTAATGAAGATGTTTATATTAAGCACCCACCTAGATTTGTAAATTCTCAACATCCTAGTTATCTCTACAAGTTGGATAAGTCGCTTTATGGCTTCAAACAAGCTTCGCGTGCCTGGTTTTCTTGTCTTAGCTCTAAACTATTAGAGATGGATTTTACACCTTCGAAGGTCGATGCCTCTCTTTTCATTTTTAACATGAAGAGCATTCAGATGTATATCCTCATCTATGTTGATGACATTATTATCATCAGCTCATCTTCTATGGCTACTGAGAAACTTCTTACACAGCTTCGGGATGATTTTGCCATCAATGATCTTGGCACTTTGAGTTATTTTCTTGGGATTGAGATCTACCATACTTCCAATAAACTTGTTCTAACACAGCATAAATACATTCAAGATTTATTGTCAGAACCAATATGCTCACCTCCAAAGGTATGCCCGCCTATGCTTCTTAGTGAGAAATTGATATTTGATGGTGGTGAAAAGCTCTCGCCTAAGGATACTACTAGTTATCGGAGTATCGTTGATGCTCTCCAATATTTGTCTCTGACACGTCTTGATATCTTCTTCTTTGTCAACAGAGTGTGCTAGTTCATGTTCTCTCTGACTTCTGTACATTAGGCGACGGTCAAATGAATTCTCCATTATCTACATGACACTATTGATATGAGCTTGTGTTTTAGAAATTCCAGCACTAATTTGCTTAGTGTCTTCTCGGATGCTGATTGGGTCGAGAATCACGATGACCGTTGAAGCACTGGAGGCTATGCGATCTTCTTTGGTGGCAATCTTATCTCCTCGAGTTCAAGGAAATAATTGAAAGTTTCTCGTTCTAGTATGGAGGCCGAACACAAGGTGGTTGCTGATGCCACTGTCGAATTAATCTGGATCCAAGTCCACTTGTGTGATCTCGGGATTTCGCAAGCGCGAGCGCCTGGCCTGTGGTGTGACAACATTAGTGGCACCTATATGTCCGCCAATCCAATCTTTCATGACGAACAAAGCAAGTTGAGTTAGATTATCACTTCTTTCGTGAACGAGTATCGACTCGTCAGCTTGATGTGCGGCTCATATCTTCTAAGGATCACCTCGTCAATGCTCATATCCATGATAAAGTCACTACCAGCTCCTTTGTTTAGTAGTTCGGGGCAATCTAAACTTAGTAGTAAATCCTCTAGATTCAGGGAGGTGTTAAAAGTAGAAGGTTATATCTATACATAGTAGTAGAATCTTTTATTTTTGGAGCTGCTTCTTCTTATTTCTTGGTCTTCTATTCTTGATCTACATCTCCTGATTTCCTAGTTTGTTACCGTGGATGAAGGCCTACACATGTAATCTTCATTGTTACACATTTCCTATATATATGTGAGGCCGCGACTCATAGAAGTCACAGCGTCATTCAACCTACACTTATGACCAAAGTGATCTCTAAATGGCATGAAATTTGATGAGGAGCCTTATGTTATAGTTTAAATGAATTATACAAACTTACAATGCTATTGAAATACGTTGAGGATTTAAACCAAGATTTGGGGTGGTAAATGACCAACCCTCTAAGAATTCTAAAATGTTTTCAAGATTCTAAAGAACCCCAAATGTTAAGAAACTTTTTATGGTACTCATTTATGACCTTAGAGTAAGTATGTTTGGAGTATGTGACTTAAAGGATAAAGTAATACATAAAGACTAATCAAGTCATAGTCTAGTTAAGGAAGAAAAAAAGTCACCTTGAAGAAAGTAGGAAAGTTTGAATTAAGGTTGCATGTTATATCTAAGGTATTCCAACATTAATATCAACACGAGTTGTTGATTTCAATAAAGAGTTTGAGACTCGAATCTGCTTGCAATTCTTTAAGTTATGGACAGGATAATTTAGCAGAGTTAAGGTAGATCGAGCTATAGACACATGAGCTACTAAGCCAAGACTTCACACTCCTTAGAATTTTGTTTTCCAGAGAGCACAGTAGCTCTAGTCATTAAGAGGAAAGAACTGACATATGTGGCAATATATTGAACATCAAGAGTTGATCTAGATAATGATTAAAAAGAAGAATAAAAACGTGCATTCATATTGAAACAAGGGTCTCCCTCAAGCATATGAACCAAGAAAGACAAGGTTAAAACCTTTTTCTTTGAGTTCGACATAGTTGTGTGAGTTAGGGTCATGTCCTTGGGCACTCTAATTCTCCTTAACATGATTTATAATAGTGTTCATATCAATTATAGGAGGTTAATCAAAGATAAAAAGCATAACAAGATGAGCCATTAAGCTAACTTGATATCTCTACATAGTGAGAGTTATACTAGTCTCTCCCATTATGAGAGTTATACCCGTCTCTCCCATTATGAGTCTTGGTTAAACAAAATTCCCATAGACAGGAAATGTTATAGAATTTGGTCTAGTGAACCATTTTAAACAAAGACTTATTCTAGTTGGTTTAGACTTGTTCTAAGATATAAAATTGTAAGTCCGACAATGTATACAGTTTGTTCAAATTTTTCGAGTTTGACTCAGTCAATTCATCCAAGCACAAATTGCACTTACAATGAGTCTTTGAAAATAGTTTCCAAAGTGAAGAAATTTTTTGGTCTCAGTCATAGTATAAAGATGTATTGGATAATATATGAAGGTTAGTAGAGTTTAATGATCTTATGAAGTGATAACTAGTTAAAGTAATAAGGCAACTCAAAATTTAGCATCCTACCTCATATTACCAAAGTACATGATATTGTTGTCTTGTCTTTAATTTATATTTTACATTAAATTATTGATGCACAATGAGTGAATCCCACATTGCTTAAGTTCTTCAAGGTGGTAGGTCAAGTGAAGAGTTGTAAAAGGATATGTCCAAACCACTAGTCAAGTGGAGAGTTGTAAAAGGATATGTCCAAACCACTAGTTAGCTGAGGAGTACCAAAAGGTTCAAAAGCTTGAGAGGTGATGTCATGGAATTCTTTCTAGATTTACCTAAGATAAAAAAAAGTGACATCACCATTTGAGTAGTGGTGGGTTGTTGCATTCAAAAGCTTACACATGTTACTTCAAATAAATTCTTAACCCTATGCGGAATAGACAGATTATGTGATGTCAATATTAGTGGTAGCAATACCACAATTTTATAAGCAGTTGGGACTTTAAGTTAGATCTTATGAAAACTGTTTATAACCACATATATTAGACAATTATTGGTGTGATACTGTTTGAAACTTGATATTGAAACAATGAATGCCCCAGTGTGCTGGGACGAGGTAGGAAAATATGAATTATTGGGACGAGAGTTACTACAAGTCACCTACAAGGCCCAAAATATCAAGACATAAATGTGTACAACTTAGAGTAGATAGAAAATTTACGGTAATGTGAGAGGTAGAAACTTGGAGTTTGAGGTAGGCAATAAGATATTCTTGAAGGTGTTCTTGATAAAAGACATCTTAAGGGTCAGACAAAAGGGGAAGTATCGTTCATGCTTCATCAGACCCTTCGACATTTTAGATCAGATCGCATCAGTAACATACAAATTAGTTCTACCACCATCCCTTTTCGTGGTTCATATTGTATTCCACGTATCCATGCTTTGCAAATACTTGAATGGTCCAACTCACGTCATAGATTATGAGTCCTTACAGATAGAAAATGACATGAGTTACGAGAAAAGACTAATAAGAATTTTAGCTTAAGAAGTGAAGGTCTTGTGTAATAAAAAAATGATCTCTGCAAAACTATCCATGTGAGAGAAAAAGAAAGAGATAGTGGGAGAAATACCCCCGAGGAATTCCAAGAATAATACACTTTTGAAAATGAAAGTTTTTTTTAGATGTGTATGATGTAATAACGAAAATTAAAAGTTAAAAAATTAAAATTATCCTACCGCGCTTAAATGGAGAAAGTGAAGAGTTTGACTCCATTATTAAAGGGAGGTCCATTTGTTTTCTAAGTAACAACAATTGGCTTACTTTCATCCCAAGACTGACATTTCGGCTCATCTGGCTTCAGTCTGATATGTTTGGACTCTTTCTTATTAGTTTCAACTCTTCACAAGCATTTTAGGCTAGTATGACTACTTTTTACTAGTTTAAATTATTTGGAGTCAAGTTTAAATCATACGTGGTTATGTTATGCTATATGATATACCAAATAATATGGTATAAACGAAATGTCATATTATGTTACACTAAGATATGTTATGTTATGAGATGTCATGATGTACTATAATATGTTATGTTAAGTCTTGATATACTATGATATGCCATGATGTATTATGATATTTTATGTTTGGCCATGATATGCAATGACATGTCATGATATATTTTGAAATAAGAAAATCTATGATGCACAACCTCCTTTTGCCATGACTTGGAAGCTATGTTACGTATGGAATGATGTATAAGAGTTATGTATGCATAATTATGTTATGAAGAACGGAAGTTGTCTTTTATTATTCCATGATGGAAAGATGTTGACCTCATGTATAATTGTATGTTCACTTGTATCGGGATACTTCTTCATTATGATGAATACATACGCTTACACTTTGAGATTGAAATGACCATCATGTTTATCATGATACTACAACGGTCATTATTCCCCTCCGGTGTCCGGCAACAGCCCATTAGTGAGTGCTACTCCAGCCAGCAAGCCTAGGGGGTGTGCAAACTCACCTGGTGGGCTCATATTTGCACGTGTGGGTCGTGTGTAGAGAAGTACTACACATCTAAATTAGTCCGAATTGAAAAAACTGCCTAAGAGAATGAAATGATGTTTTAAATGTTAGGTCCCCCATGTTGCATGTAATTGCATTCTGAACCCCAACAATGGTATTTCTTAAAATACTCAAATCTTGTGTTATTCTTACATTTCAGGTAAAGGTAAGGTATCCACGTAGGGTGATAGAGGAGTTGCATTGATAACCCTAGAACTTGTTTAGGGCAGTTGTACTTCATTTATCTCCTCGCCCTTAAGTTAGATCATGACATTATTTTACTGTTTTCTCTATTTTGTTTTCTAGTTTTCTTTATACATGATTTATTCTCATTTTCATATGTTTTGGATCTATTTAAGGATTTAATTTTAACATGTAAGTCCATGACATCATTCATGAACTATTTAAAATGAATGTTTTTCACATACAAAAAAAAGTCACATCCTGCATATGGTATACAACTCCATTTCAGTAGAAAAAGAAAGTCATTACAAACTAGGTAGTATATAAATAAGTTTGTTAAATTATCACGTGTACTAATAATTGGGTACGTCAATAATAGAATTTCTATTAAAAAAAAAAAATCATTGATGTATAGCTTACCTATTAAGAAAGTTGTGGAATATATATCTAAGATACTTGGGTATATCAATCGTATATAGATGAAGTGTATGAATGATGTAAATATATATCCTATCTAGTTATATCAATAATAGATGAAATGATATGAATAGTAGATTAAATGAATATCCAATAATACATTTAACTTGTTATTTATTATTATGTTATTTGGTTATTATTGGTAGATTTGTAATGCGAGGGTTCCATTATTATTCACGAACATGCTTAGGATGACCAGATTCAATTTTTCACGTGCTGAATTTGAAGCCCAATCCCTTTCCCCCCTCTAAATTTGGAACATCAAATTCCATGGAATTTCAATCTCCAATTCTGTTTCTTCCAAATCCCGCTCCCAATTCTTCTCTAATTCCTCCCCCAATTCCTCTCCGATTCTAGTTCAGGCACAGCACAGAAGGCCAATCGAATAGAATCGAATCGAATCGAATCAAATCTCTGTGATCTGCAATCATGGGATTCAAATCTCTCTTCTCCCTAAAGATCAAGAAATCCGATGCTTCCACCGACTCACCGCTTCGATCTACGGCGGTCCCCGTTCTCGGATCTCGAACGCCGTCTTTCAATTCGAATTCTCGAGAGCAACTCGCGGAGCTCCAGCAAGTATTCAAGAAATTCGATGTCAACGGCGACGGCAAGATCTGCTCCTCTGAACTCGGATCCATTATGCGGAGCCTCGGCCAGCCGGCCACCGAGGAGGAGCTTCAGAGCATGATCGAGGAGGTGGATGCTGACGGCGACGGCTACATCGACCTCCACGAGTTCATCGAGCTCAACATCAAGGACGTCGATTCCGACGAGGTGCTCGCGAATCTGAAGGACGCGTTCTCTGTTTACGACATCGACGGAAACGGATCCATTACGGCGGAGGAATTGCACGAGGTTTTGAAGAGCTTGGGCGACGAATGCTCCTTGGCGGATTGCCGGAAGATGATCACCGGCGTCGACAAAAACGGCGACGGAATGATTAGTTTCGATGAATTCAAAGTGATGATGATGATGAGCGGTTCTCGATCCGGCTTCAGTGTTTAATTAATTACCATTCATAATTATTCGAGTAAATTAGGTATGTTGCTAACATTTTCCGTTGCTTTATTATATAATTAGGAATTATTTGCTTCTAATTGATTCTTCTTAATAGCATTAATTATGAATTAATAGAAAATTTTCAATGCCATTAATGGGGTTGTTTGTTAGGAAGGAACACCTATCATCTCCATTTAGAGTTCTCAAATTAGGTTTTTATTTTGGAAAAATTGTATCAAAATCATCCCAATTAAGTTAATTTCTAATCAATTTCTCATATTTATTGAAACAACCTCTAAACCAAACTATAAATTTTCTTCCATGTCATTTTTATCCTTACTTTTTTTCAAAAAAATTTAATATCACAAATACATTTAAAGAACCATTATGCAAATTGAGAGAGAATCTATATGTAATCGGTTTTATGACATAAATCTCTACACACAACCAATCACATGTAATGTATAGTTCCGAGATCTATAACTAAATCTCCATACACAATCATTAACATGCAATGTGCATCAGTGAGATCTGACAGTGATTAGTTCCTTATTAACCAAATGTGTTTGCCATTAGATTATGCCAAGTGATTAGATCATAACATAAGACATGAATGTACAATCATCACATAAATCACATTCCACACAAACCATCCTAACTTATGGATACACACCTAACCTAGTTCTAAAATCATTCAAACTATATGTTTTCCATTGATTTTTTTGGTCTTTTTTTTGTATTTATTGTTACAAATCTTCGAGAGCTTTTGTCCTCTAAAACTCGAGGGTAGTTGGTCCTCATGGTTTCCTCTTGTTTTTATGTTACTTGGTTTCTCACCACTCCTTAAATAGGGTCACCTAAGGACCACATAAGATTTTTACTTCTCCTAGCGGTTTTCATCCAAGATAAAATCAATTATGCAAAATGGAGATGAAATATGTATGTCCATGTCATAGTCCTTCAGTAAGTGATATTGTATGTTCACGTCCTGATCTACTAAGATACTAAGATGAGGCCACTTGATTTAAATTTTAGGTAGGTGGGCCAACTGCAACCCGACCTTTTGAAACTATATGATTAAAAAATATCTATTGTTCAAATCAAGTATAGTTTACTTGCCTATAGCATTGTCAAGACTTTCTTGAGGTGCATCTCATTCTCTTCATCTGTCCTGGAGTAAGCCAACATATCATATATGAATACGATCATGAACGGTGTCAAAAAAACTCTTTAATTTCATAGTTAATAACCCTATGAAGATTGCGGGTACATTTTTCAAACCAAAAGACATTATTGAAACTTGTAATGTACATATTGAGACCTAAAATTCAGTTTGGAAATATTTTGTTCTCTAATTCTTAATTGAGGTATTCCATCCTCAAATCAATCTTGAAGAACATGTTGACTCTTTACCATTGGTAAAACAAGTGCATGGACCTATCTTTCTTCTTCACAAATAAGATTAATGTAGCCTAAAGTGAGATATCGAGAGGTATAAAATCTTCCAGTGGTCTTGTAATTCCAATTTTATCTCCCTCAATTCTACTTATTCCTACTTTTTGCTCAATACTAAAATCTACTTTTCATATGAGATACTTTTGGTAGGTCCTTGAAAAACACATCTAGGAACTCAATTAGCATGGAAGGAACAGAAATCTCAATCCCTTTTGGCATCAGCTACACTAGTCAGAAAGCCTCATGCTTCCTAACTGATTAACTTTCGAACTTTTAGTGGGACACCAGATGTGATAGAAGCTAACTCGTGATAGAAGTTTGAAGACCACCTCCGTATGAAAACAATCAATACTGACAAAATTCTACCAACGTATCCATGTCGCAAATGATATCAAATCATTCATGACTACGATAATTAGTGTAACGATCTGACTTCTAAAGTTAATCTACATGTAAAGAAGTGAAAAACAAATATATCATTTTTCCTGACAAATGAGTTATGCATGTATATAAGGTCTCCCAAGTAGAAGACATCCGTTTTAGTTTAAGATTCATTCTTTGCATAAAACATTTTCATCGATTAAAATCGAATATAACTGAACTCCATCCTAAAATTAAAAAACATCACATGAATATCAACAATAGGTTTATCATATTTTGAATTAAAAAAACAGCACAATTTCATTATTACTTTAGTTTTTTATTTCTAATTCACCCCGATTAAAAATTTAAATTTAAATTAGATCAAGATTATACCCTTAATATTTTTTCCGTTATATGCCAAAACAACTCAACCATTTATAATAAAAAAATAAAAAATAAATAAAAAAAAAACACGCAAATAAATACTTTGGACGTTTTTGTGATTAATCGGATAATAATTAGGTTTAATTTTTTAAATTATGGTTTGATTTGTGAAGGTCTATTTAATATTTGAATTTTTTAAGTTTTTCTATTTTCAAAATATCCATTTTAATTTTTAATCTTTAATAAAATAACTATTTTCATTGTTATTTTTATTTTGTTTTATTTCTTAGGTTTGATGTTAAAAATCGATTCATTGAATTAGTCATGATCAAGTTAATTCTAGAGTAAGTCGTCTTGGTATCTAAGAGTAACCGTCATAGATTTCAAATTCGATCTATGAGTCATTCATCTTCTAACCAGCTCTTGGTTGGAATCAATTCGTTAAGTTAGTTTTCTCCGTGAACGCTTATCACTTTTCGAAATTTATTTTTTAGTTTATCTTTTATTGATAAAAAAAAATCTATCAATAATTTTTAAATGATTTAGAGAGGGTTGGAAGGATTGTAAATAAATTATAGTTAATTTTTAAATTATGACATATTATAACAACAGTAAAAACTAATAAATAAATAAAATAAAATAAAAAATAATGACCAATTTTTCCACTTCTCCATTTCTCCGGTTCATAAATGGTGTGTATCAAATAATATTTGAATTTTAGGTAAGAAAAATGAAATAATATTGAAATATTTTTTTAATTTAAGTTTTAGTACCAAACAAAATTTAACATTCAATTCGATTTTTATTAAGGCAATTAAATTCATATTCAAGATAGATGAAACCTCGATATAATTGAGAACGAATTCGAATAATGAAAGCAAGTAAATTTAGAGTTGGATAGAACTTTAGTCAAGGCCAACCAAGTAAGTGACCTTACTATCGGCTCGATCGAAATACTTGTCTTATATATGATGACACGTGTCCAATGGCTCTTGCTCGTGTCATTTATGTTTTATAGTATATGATGATGAGATGATGTTCTATGATGATGTGATGACGTTATATGATGATGTGATGATGTTATATGATGACGACATTAGATGATGATGTGATGTTTTTATATGATGATGTAATGATGTACATGATGTTGACATGATGATGATGATGATGCATGATAACAAGATGATGTGAGACGTATGATGATGACATGACTTAATATGATGATAATGCATGATAACAAGATGATGTGAGACGTATGATGATGACATGACTTAATACGATGATGTTCCATATTAAGACAATATGCATGCATTAAATATCACGATGCACAAGTTTTCAAAGACACAAACCTACTTAATGTTAATGATGATGAATGTATGAAAGTCAATGCGTGTATGTTACTTATAATAATGTGTGAACAGTGTATAGGGTTGTGTCATAAATATGATTTAAAGATGAAACTATAGGTACCTCATGTATTTTGTGTGTTCATATACATTGAGACACTTCCCCATTTATGATGATGAGTCCGGACGCGTACACTATGATGATAATCATCATCATGTCTCACATGACACTCGGGGGCTGCTGACCTCCAGATGTCACTACGGAAAGTTGCTCAACTATGATGGGTCCAAGGGGTGCAAACTGTCTGAGGACTCACACTCACACGTGTGAGTCTTGTGTAAGAAAGTATAACACGTCCAATTTTGTCCGGACTGAAGGTCACCCCTACGATGGTTTTAACAATAGATCTCTAATCATGAGTTACATGTGTTTTGCATTCCCTGACCCAATAGTGAGGTCATTTACTAAGTATTTCTTAAAATATTCAAGTCGTGTGCTAATGCTATTTTAGGTAAAGGCAAGGTATTGTATGGTTGACTACGACATCGCAAGTAAAGACCATGACACATGCATAGGATAGTGAAATTTATTTCTTAGACTTTAGGTTAGTACAGGGTGTTTTTTAATTTTAATGTTTTATTTGGTATTCGTTATGTTTCTTTAAAGATGTTTTTTGTAATTACCCTAGATTTCTGCTACCGAAAGTCGAGACCATTATCTTAACCTAAGCTCGTATGCAGAATTTAACTCTTAAAACATCATCTTTAAAATCATAATTTCAACATAAACATATGCGTAACATCGTCATTGAAAACACCGCATGGTGTTACGTGTTTGAAAACATAATTCAAAAACAAGATTAAAAACAATAATGACAAATATTTGAAAAAAAAACGTAAAATGCTTAATAACTTATTCTAATCTAAGTTTAGGAATTTAAATATGCTACTGACCTATGCACGGGTCATGGTCTTTGATTACGATATCGTTGTCAGCTATACAGGGGCGCCTTGCCTTTACCTGAAAATGATGTAGCACATGACTTGACTATTTTGAATAATACTCGGTAAGTGAGTATTTCGAATAATACTCGTCAGCTGTACCGGGGCACATGAATGTTGCAGGAATGGTTAATTATTTATATAAGCTCTAAAAATATTGATTATTTATTTAAGGTGTAATTAGAGGTTTTGTGCCGTATATTTGCAACCAACCCAACCCATTAGGGGATATCCTATGGGCCTGCCAAAAACCCAGCCCATTACGGATTCCTGAAAATTAATATAACAAACTCACAAAATAATAAATGGAAAATTTTGAAGCTTTTATATTATAATATAAAGTTTTGAGAGAGCGTTAATTTTTGAAAAGAATAATAATGATAATAAAATTCACGCACAGGTAATGTTTGGCCAAAAAGTCATCTTTTGAATAGCGTAAAGCAACATTAGTCTTTTTTTATTATTATTATTCATTTTTGTCGTCTTATTGTCTGCCTTTCTTTTTCAAATGAAGGAAATATAGTGAATCTTTTTTCTCCCAATTTTGTGTTTGGTACTTCTATCTTATTATTATTTTTTACTTCTTATTTTTTATTTCATCTTAAAACACGGTTATGGACTTATATATTTGAAAAGTATTGATACAACAAAAAATCTATATAAAATAAATAACATTAAAATTTAAATTAAAAAAAAACACTTTATTCTAACCTAAGTCTAAGAAAACAAGTAAAACTACTTTATGCATGTGTCATAGTCTCGAATTGAGATGTAGTCGTCAGCGTATAGGGATATTTGTCTTTACCTAAAAAAGAAATAGCACACGACTTGAGTATTTTAAGAAATACTCAGTAAGTGACCCCACTATTGAGGTTAGGAAATACAAACACATGTAACTCATGATTAGAAATCCATCGTTAAAAACCATCATATGGGTGGTCTACAGTCCGGACAAAATTAGATGTGTAGTACTTCCCTACACACGCCACACATGAGAGTGTAGATACCCAGGCGGTTCGCACCCCTTGGACCTATCATAGTCGAGCTAACTATCTATAGTGACGTCTGGAGATCAGCAAACCCCGAGTGTCATGCAAGACATGATGATCATCATCTTTATAGTGTACGCGTCTGTACTCATCATCATAAATGGGGAAGTATCCCAATGTATATGAACACACAAAATACATGAAGTCCCTATAGTTTTCATCTTTATGACACAACTCTATATATTGTTCACACATTACTCTAAGTAACATGCACATATTGGCCTTCATACATTCATTATCATTAACATTAACTAAGGTTATGTTCTTGAAAACTCGTTATCATAGTGCATCGTGACATTTAATACATGCACATCATCTTAATATGAAACATCATCATATTAAGTCATTTCATCATCATACGTCTCACATCATCTTGTTATCATGCATCATCATCATCTTGTCAACATCATGTACATCATCACATCATCATATAACATCATCACATTATCATATAACATAAAACATAAATGACACATGGAAAGGTCATTGACCACGTGTCGTCATACATAAGACAAGTCTTCCGAACGAGACAATAGTAAGGCTACTTATCAGATTCGCTTAAGTTGTTATCACGAATTTATCTTTAATGAAAATTCAATTCTATCCTTTGAAATCAAAGTCAACCTATGTGAACACAGACATCAGTTTCAAGTTCGAACTTCTACAAAATTATTTGTCTAATTTACATTGATCCATATGTTATAGTTCACGTGAACATTAGAATCTTTGCATGAGTAAAGTCTTTGAATGTTTATATATGTTTGTTATAATATTATTTTTGTACAAATCATTTAAAACTCTTTAACATTTTCTAAATTTATTTTCTTCGCTTGGGTGTGGTTTTTTTTTTTTTTTTTTTTCTCTCTTAATTATGTTCAAAGTATTTCCCTTCTCTCTCTTTCTTTTTCACAATTATTTTTACTAAGCTCATAAAAAAATTCTTGTAATTTAATTTATAACTGAGTATTTGTAACTAAATTATTAGGAAAGAAAGAAGTAAAATACACTACTGACAAAGGAAGAAAGTAAAATAAACTACTGAATGGCAGGTTCCTTACACGTCAACTAAATATGTTAAACTTTTTTAAAATTGAAGAGTAACGGCAGCAAGTGATTGAGTTCAGTAATTCCTCGTATAAAATTATTGACTCTAGAGATATAGTAATATGGAGAAGACTAAATTGTTTCAAGCACCGACAGAACCAGAAATGTCCCTTGTTTCAAAGAGAGAAGAACGGATTATTCACATCTCATTTAATGGTCAGAGGCAAATTGAAAGCTGAGCTGTGGTAATTCTAAGTTCTAAAAGAAATGAAAATTTTTAAACTCATTTCAAAATTTATTAGTATTTTGGATAATTTAATCCTAACATAAAGATGAGAGTAGAGAAGAGCAAATGATTTAAATATTGAAAAAGAGAAAAAAAAAACATAAAATAAGGGAGATTTTGCATGGAACTTTGGATGGTGTTGCAAGAAAGTAAAAAATAATTATGTGGTTCAAAAGTGAAAGGGAAGACAAATTTATGTTGACGTTAAAAAGTATTTTAAAATGAAATTTTAATTGCTAAGTTCATACATACATATCAATCCCAATGGCGATTCATTGAGCAGACTCTAATTCTAATGGTTACGATGAATTTGACCGATTCAATTAGACCAATTTGATTGAGCTCTTTTTGTTCGGATTCAATTAGACCAATTTGATTGAACTCTTTTTGTCCCAATTGTTCAATTGACCTCTTTGCCCGTTTTTTCTATCTAATTTTGATAAATTTAGAGGGGGGAAAATGAGCTAACTTCGTTAGAAAAGTAAGCTTTGAATGAGATAAGTAGTAATACAGAAATTCCATTTAAGTGTTATTTGTAGGATGAATTAATATTGAGTTGTTGAAAGCATGATTGTTGATTGAAGCACACTTGTTTGCTTAATTTTGATGTTCTATCGAATACTATGTGAAATTAGATGAATTATGAGCATGATAGAGGTTTTTAGTTAGATGCATTTACTATATCCCGTCTATGATATGTGATTTATTGTATGATATGAGGTTATTGTTAAGAATGAACGTTCTCATTCACACTATGGAAACATTAGAATAGACTTTGATATTAAATTATCTAATATATTTAAATATTGATTGTGAACCTGTCTCAATTAACGATGATCTATAGTATTATTAGTAGCTAGCTATGATATGAGATCGCTCCTCTATTATGAGGACTATTAGAACATCGTTAATTACCCTTTAATAATCAACTTGTCTTAACAGATGAGAGTCTATATTTTTATCGTTTTGGTTATGAGTTAGTATGGATAGGGTTGTGCTCTGAGATGCATGAACTTTACATTAGAATATTGTATGAGGGAACGGTCCAGAGATTACTAACTATTGCCTAGTTGTGAACTTTTTTAGATAATGATAAAAGACTACATGGATATATGACTGTTTGCAAGAACGAGAGTCACTCCCTTCTTAGTGATGATATCACCATGAAGCCTATTAGAGAGCCAACATCTAATTTCTATTAGATATCTAATGTCTATATTGTAGGATGAGCTATAAGTTGAAACCACGACGAGGTTTGCCTTGAAGACCTATGATATATGGGTTGAATATAATTGTAGGGACTAATGCCTTGAAGACCTATGATATATAGGTTGTGTGTCTCAAAAACCATGATGAAGTTGTGTGTGCGCGTTGTGTGTCACAATCGCACTTTGATGGCAACGGACTTGTGATTGTGCGGCACTTGCTTTCCAACAGTGAGTGAGTTAAGTCTGTTCGTTCTTGCGTCGCCTACGGCCAAGCAACATATGCTTAAGCCTCTAGCCCTAGCTCAAGAAGAAAGTTTTAGAAAATGGGACAGAGAGATTTCAAAATAGAGTTTTGAAAGCAAGATTTGAGAAATTGAAATTGATGTTCTATGGGAATGTAAGCAAAAGGCAACAACAACGATTTACTGCATATAACTATCAAGTAGGGAGAAGTTAACAACTAGTCATATCCCTCTATAGTACATTTTGGGGCATCTTTTGCCCAGGCGAGAGTAGCCGCGATTCTGATGAACGGTCATACACCTCCATATTGACCCGATATGAAATAGTAAAGGCCTATCTAAGATGAAAGCATGAAAAAGGGGTTTGGAACGGGCTTAAAACCATAGACGACACGCCTTGGACAAGCATGACCGTGACATCCTCCCCTACTCAATTGGTTGATGTCTTTGTCAACTGACTAAAACAAGCAAGATTGAGACGCATAAGTGACCACAAATAATAATAACAATAATAATAATAATAATATATATATGTTATGCGTGTGAAAGGAGAAAAACATGAATGGCCGCAAAATTAGAAAACCAGTAAGTCATACCCATATTTTATTTGGTCCTATTATTATTTTCTTTTATTTTATTTGTACACTGAATATGCTAATTTTGTTTTATTATTAAAATATAATTTCTTATCTAAAACAACCACATAATTTGATTTTATCTCAACTTTATAACTAGAAATTAAAAAATTCATCAAAAATATGTTGTGACCACAAATAAACTTAAACTTGATACAGTTATCGAAAGTGTTTTTGCAAGTCAATTTTATTTTTATTTTTATTTCAATAATAATAATAATAATAATAATAATAATAATAATAATAATAAGTTGTTTCTGAAAAAGTGGGCGGGTCCCATAATTATTTAATTATTTAATTATTTAAGTGTAGGAGGATATAATTTCACACTCTAAAGAACGCGGCACGTGGGAGGAGCATGCGACCAAGTCAAAGGTTTTCAAATCAATACACTTCGCTAATGCTCGGTCTTCCTTTGAGTGCCACCTTAATTGTTTTATTTTTATTATTTTAATGCATTAAAAATGTGACTCCTTCTTGCTTTATTTATTTCGATTCGGATTTAATTGTCATAATTAGCCCAATCATAAAATCTTTTTTTTTTTGTTTTTTTCATAGATGCTGGACTTATCGTTTATGAAATATTTTAAATGAATGTTTTCACCTACGATAGTTATGTCATCTAAACAATGACAAACTTATTTTTAATAGGAAAACGTATATCATATTCTCTTTTACATTAAAATGATTTTATTAAATTGAATGTAGAGCATAAATAGGTAATTTTATTTTTGTATTATTGATTAAAATAAGGTAATCAATCACCAATATCTGTAATAAATCATTTTTATATGGACTTCTTACATTTAAACCACTTTCCTAAATTATCTATTAATTAAGGTAATCACCAATATCTGTAATAGGTGTAGCTTTGTTTTATTTGACTTTTGTTTTAATGGGGACATCATCATTGTTCTTGCCTTCTCTAATTTTTACCCCTAAAAAATAATCCCTCTTCTTTATTATTATTGGAGGATGAAAGTCTCCACTAATTTAGGGAATAATCATAGGTTTATAAACAAAACAATACTCTCCCCATTAGCATGAGGCATTTTGGGAAGCCCAAGGCAAAGCCTTACAGCTTATGCTCAAAGTGGACAATATCGTACCATTGTAGAGAGTCGTGTTCTTCTAACATGATATCAGAGTCATGCTCTAAATTTCTTCGTGCCAATAGATTGGTAAATCCTCAAATGTCGAACAAAGAACTCCAACATAAAATTTTTCGTAGTAAAAAATGACTAAAATCAACCCAACCTTTATAATATGGGCTAGATAATTGGAGTCGATTGGATTAGTTAGGTTGGAGAGACACGATTGGTAAATAAGATAAATGATAAGGGTGAAATTGTAATTTTATTAAAATTTGGAAGTATCGCTGGTAGCTATCGTAATCTAGGCCAACCAAGATGTCGGTGGAGACGTAGATTATTACAATTTTATAATATGACTAAAATTACATTTATTGCATTCCGTTGTAAAGTCAAAATTTTGGAATCACTACAAACGCTTCCCATAAAAACAAAGGAATCACCGATGATTCGTTTTTGAAGGAAACGACACGGAACCTCGACACAAAAGAAGCAGAGATTGATGAAATTTTGATATCAACGACACCACTCAGGGGCCGTGGCCGCATAGCCTTTGTGCGCTTTATACGCTATCTTTACGCTTATCGCACGCACACAAAGACCCTTCTTCCATTTCCCCGCGTCTTTATCCCTTCTATATATACGTACCTCTCTTTCTTTTCTCATCTTCATCAGCCAACTCATTCCATCTCCATCTCTCTGCTTTCAAGAGACTCTGTTCCCGAACATGGCTTGCTTGGTTTCTCGTACCGGAAGGGAGCTGCAAAGATACAATCATATGGGGTTTCGCCAAGTTGTTGGGTGGGTTTAGTTTGTTTCTTAATTCCCACCATTGATTTGTTCCTCTTTGTTCTTTCCCTGGAATTTCATTGATTAACATTGAAAAATGTTGGATTCTTGCAGTTGTATACCCTATAGATTCAAATGCAGCGAAGATGGGGTCAAAATTCGTGATGCATATGAGGTGCTTGTGATAAGTTCTCAAAAGGGACAAGGCCTGATGTTTCCCAAGGTACTTCCAAATAAACAATTTCTTATTTTCCTCAATTGGGCTCCTGTTCTTAATCAATTTGCTTCCACATTTCAGGGTGGTTGGGAACTCGATGAATCCTTGGAACAAGCTGCTTGTAGAGAATCGCTTGAAGAAGCTGGTGTTGTTGGGAAAGTTGAGGTAGGTTCTGTTTTGGGAATCCCCTTGTAAGTAATCTCTGTTTTGGAACAACATCAATGAGTGGTGATTGTTTGTTATGCTACATACAGTCTGAACTTGGAAAATGGAGATTCATCAGCAAAAGCCAAGGCACATACTATGAAGGCTATATGTTCCCTTTGTTTGTTGAGGAGCAACTTGAGCTGTGGCCAGAGAAACATGTTCGACAAAGAATATGGGTATGTTCTTGATTCTTAAACAAAAAAATCCACTGATTTACATACCAAAACAGTATATTGAGTATTTTTTTTTGTGTGGCCAGATGGGTGTAGGTGAAGCTAGAGAAGTGTGTAGACATTGGTGGATGAAGGAAGCTTTAGATATCTTAGTTGAAAGACTAGCAACATCCATGGGAGAGCAAAAGGATGGTGATGATCTGTGATAGAAAGCTTTCTTGTAAATATGGGAAGGAAAAATGATGATGGTTGGGTTGGGTTGGGTCTGTTCATGAGGCTATACCCAACTTTCTTTAGTTCTTGATATGTATCTTCTTCAATTTTGAAAGAATACAAAAATGGATATGGTTGATACCCAATTTGGGGTTAGCTCTCTCAATCAATACTTTCACTTTTCCACACTTGTTTCTTTCCTTCAGCCAAACTCTCCATTCCTTTTTAAACACTTTTCTTACTACAAATTGAAGTTATCCAAACTAGGTGATTGCGTGTGACTCGTCGAACGTTCATACGTGTAAACAATACTTGTTTTAATTTTATTTGTGTTCTTATCTTTTACTTGATAGTGGGTTCTTTCCAACACTTCTTCCATTTCTCTATCATATGATATTTGATCATGTAACAAAATGGATAAAGAAAGTCCAATAACATATGGGTCCCAAAAGACCTTTCTCCCCTTACCTAATGTGCAAGGCAATTTGAAGAGCTTAGGCCATGGCTTCCCAAGTTGTTTTGTAAAAAAATATAGATTTTCTTGCTCAAAAGGATCAACGTCACTCCCTATGCAAATCCAAACTCTCTTTTCCAATTTGGGTATCTTCGGATTCTTGATGGAGGACCACAACGAGCTTTGTTTGAAATTGTAGGGTTCAGTCTGTTCTAGTAGCCCTTCTACTAATTCCAAAAGCTCAACCCATTTGGTCAGCCCAACTATTTAGCTAGCTTAATCCGTTCTCCACGTCAGCCCAATATGTCATAACGTCATGATTTTGACATGCTCATGACAAGTCTCATTCACATTTTTAGTCCAACTTTTTGGTTTCGTCGAACCTTAGGCGAGGTTCTCCTTCGCCGATAAAACACAACTCATGTAAAATATAAGCTTGTTCGGCTACAACGCCGCTTGTGCGCGCATGTTCAATCGTCTGCAACTCTTGTCAACTTGCCTCTACCCTTGATCAAGTCATCCGACTCGACCTTGCTCTTACTCTAGGACAAGTTCTCTCACGTGCACGTCGCATCTTTTCTCGTCACATCTTGATTTTCAACAACATGACCCATTCATCGTGATCTCATCCCAAGTTTCAGGATGACTTCGACCATTGTAGCTTGCTTGAGCATGTCCATCGAGAATTGACCTAGGTGTCAACGTATCATCGGAGCATCTAGATTCTATTGTGGCATGAACCCTTCCCTAGCATCAACCTCTGATATATGGGTTAGGGCCTAATGTCAACCTATCGAATCATTCAACATTTTTATTAAAAAAAATATATGGTTAGGCTTTTAAGTAGCGAAACACTCTGGAATTCCGGGGACAGATAAGGTATTCTCGTTACCAAGCACGCCTCTAAGTTCGCATCAAAAAATGGTTTGTGGAGCCGCTTCGCGTCTTCCTTCTGCAGATTGAATGTTAAACCTAGAAGTTCCCGCCAAAAATCTAAAGGATTCTTCGCAATTTCGAAATGGATAAAATCTTCCGGGTAATGAGTATCAATAGTTCAACACATGAATTACTCAATCCTACGCTGAGAAGTCCTAAATATCTCACTCCGCTTCTGCTCTTTCATGGTTCCAACAAAAGTCTGGCCTCAGATTCGGAGCTGGAACTCGATTTTGACAAGCTCGAACATCGATCTTCAATACCCAGGTCTCCAAGAAGCTGGATTTCTGAAAAACAGGTTGATCTCAGAGAGATTTCAAAAGCAAGGGAGTTGAATGTTCAGATAGACCCATGGCCGGAGTGGGTGAACTTCATGGAATGTTTGTCAAAGAAAGGGTACTTTGAAGGAGGCGGAGTACCATTTCTGAATGCTGAATTGGGTGCAAAAGATTTCAATCATATTCGGACTGCCTGTCTTGATTTTGCAAGGGATCGGTCTAACCTTATACGGTAATATGGGATTTTGGATAATGCACTCTACATGTTTGATAAAATGCCTGAGTGACCAACCGCAGTTATCAAATCATGTTTTTCTTTAACAAATCGTGTTTTTGGATCCAAATGTGCTTTCAAACTCCTTGGTTTTGAAGAGTGTAGTAAAACAAAGAGACTAATTGCTGAATTTGGGTGATCCAAACTGTCTATAGTCCCATTCGAGAATCCTGCATTTGTCACATTAGAGACTAAATTAAATTTAATATGTTGCTGTGGTTTTCTGTGCTGTTCTGTCATATTGTTGCAATTTTTGTTCATAACAAAGGTTAGATCCATAATCTCTTGACTTGCTAGGCTCAAACATCAATTGCAATGATTCGATAAACGGCTTATTGGGATGGATGTAAATTAACAATACCCCAAAACCGTATAAGAAGTTTTCTCCTCGTACGGTTCGAGGAAATTCAAAGTTATGTATAGAATTCTAATTAATGTCAAATGGATTCATAGATTATGAAATCAATTAGCCTATTTGTTTGTTTTTTATTCTCTTTTGAAAAGTAAAAACTCGTTCTTATCCTCATAACTCAAGTTTGTGTCATATTAGTACTCAGGTAAAACTTACCATTCAAAGAAAAACAAAAGTTCTTTCTCGATATTCCCTTTACGAAAAATTAATCGCATCGGAATATTTCTGCGGTCGAATCCATTTTGAATTTGATAAACGTGGCAAACAACCAACTAACTTGTGCTTGAGTACCAAGAAGGATAAGTTTCTATTGTATTGTTCATCTATAGTTTTACTTTCCTTTTGTCAAATGTCTGAGGAAGTGCGGTATCTTTTCTTCCAGGTGCTTGTCCAGGAAAGAGTTACAGGTGATTGCAGGATGTGGATGCCCAAGCATAGATAGGAAAGTTGTGAACTCAGGGAAGCGTCTCAGAGCACATGTGGGCATTGATGAGGGAAATGTATGTATTGAATTTTCTACTATTCATGCCACTTGCAAATTTTGTTGGGTTAAATTATAAATTTAGTCTATCCATAAACTATAATCACATCAACTTAGCAGAGTGTGAGTGGCATGAATTTTGGCTAAGGGATTAAAGACTAAATTGATGCAATGCTTATCGTTGAGGGGATAAATTTAAAATTTTATTACTAATATTGGAACATGAACAAACTAGTCTTTGTTGTATTGATCAACCCAATTCATCTTTCCTAAAGCAAAACAGTTTTTATGATTTCTAGACTTTCATCATCTTTAACATGAATAGGCTTCTTAGTAGGTCTGCAGTTCTTGCAACCTGCGGGGAGAATGTGAGAGGGCATATGCAAAGGCATGCGGAGACGGAGGAGGTCGGACCGTGGATGTCATGCGCGTTTTGTTATTTTACGGGCTTGATCACATCTCTGCTATGGTGGAGAACAGACCTTGTGTGAACAAGAAGGCTAATGACTCTGTTAGAAAGCTGTTGAAAGAAATTGTTGATTACAGTGCAGGAGAACGTGAATCTGATGTTCTAAAGTCTAATGAGGGGTTTTCAACAGAAAATCATGAGACAAATGCTTCAGCAACGCACGGCGACTGGCATTGTCCAAAGTAAACCCAACTAACTACATTCAAACTTTATATTTCTGAAATGTTCATAATTGATTTCCTTTCCATTCTTCATTTGGTAGATGCAACTTCTTCAACTTTTCTAGAAACGTCAAGTGCTTTCGTTGTGGTAGTATAGCCCTTGAGAGGCTTCGGAAACGAAACGAGGATCAAGCCAATCTTCCGTTGAAGAAGGGCGACTGGATTTGTGACAAGTAACGACTCTCCATGTGTCCTAAAGCTTTTGCAGTGCTTCTTTTGTGTGTGTGTTTGTGGTTCTTTTTCTTATGGAGACAGCATTTATGCAGATGTAATTTCTTGAACTTTGCTAAGAATTCAACATGTTTGCAATGCAAAGAGAAGCCGTTGAATCGACAGCTGAATCTGGGGGAGTGGGAATGCGAATCGTGAGCGTTCCTTCTTGCACTTTTAACTCATTTTCTCATGTTCATGATCTATCCGTTTGAATGAAACTGAAGTTGGGTACTTTGTATAGGTGCAACTATATTAATTTTAGGAAGAACACGCTATGCTTGAGGTGTGATCACCGACGGCCCAAAGCACTAAATACTAGAAACGTTTCTGCTGGACCTAAATTGTGTTCTGGTAAAGTTGGAAATAATGCAAGTAGGAGGAAGAATGATGATGGTTGTATGTGGAGATTTGGTGGAAGTGAGGGTGAAGAACACTGCAGATTTCCGGATTTTCCAAGTGCAGAAAATGCAGAGAGAAGGAAAGTGGAGATGTTAGAGAGGAGAAGAAGCTTGGAAACTGCAATGGAGAAAGAAGAAGATCTGATCTTGAGATCTGACAATATGGAAAGAAGAATTGAGTTTGTTGAATGTAGTGATGATGAAGATATCATGGAATGGTTCGAACACAAGCCAGAACAACAACGATGATAGGTTGGATGGATACTCATGGTCCAGAAGGGGTAGTAATCCAAATCAAGTTTCGATTTAGTTTTGTTTATGAACACACTGTAGTCTGTTCTTCATGATCATCCTTCATACCTCTCTTTTTCTTCTGAAACTATGAATTACATGATCATTTGAGGACCATTTTTATTCAATACTTTTTCATTTAGTTTATCAATCAACTGGGAAGCCTCCCTTTGAACGTTTATCGAGAAGTTCAAGTACGTACCATTAAATGCAATATTGAATATCAAAATTCTGGTTCAATTACTTAGTTGTACGTGATAAGAGGCCTGTTGTATTAAATTATGAATTAAATTGATAATTACTGATAAGATTTTTAAAATTATTATGTTATTAACATATAATTAAAAATTCCAGGAGTCAGATGTGTGGCACCAGTCAACCAATTAGATCAATGGAACGGACGTGATCTGCAGGTGCAGGGAAACCATGAAGGCCGCGAAGCACATGATTACTCTATAACCTTCTGGCTTCTTGCTTAAATTATTCAGAGTTTTTTTTTTTTTCCTAATTCTCTTTTTTTCTCTCTCCTCTATCTATTGTGACACGCTTTCTCTCTCTACCGTTGGGGTTTTATTTTTTATTTTTTATTTTCTGTTTTGGGAACCCTAGCTCAGATACCCTGCTTCAAAAATGGGTGACAAGGCCGCGAAGGTAGTTGGTGAGTGTTTGGAGCCCCAGTTTTTCCAATTCCACAATTCGACATTTCCTATTTTGTTAGCCTTTTCTTTCTTCTTTTTTGCTGTCAACAACGATTTTAAACTTCTTCGGGATATTGGAGTTTGTTCTAGTTGTGAATCAACTTTTGTTATCCTTTTTTCTTATTCTATAGAGTGGAAATTGCAAGCTCTGGCGTTAATGTGTGGAAATTTCGTTTGTGAATTCAGATTTTGTTTTATTTAGCTGACTTTGGAATGTTGTACTCGGGAGATGCTTGTATTTTTTTTGTTTACTCTATATTGGAAGGTAGTGTGGTGATATGGATAGATGGTTCTATTCTCGTTTCTTTTTCTAATTCGATCAGTTTGGGTCTGCAGGTTGGGCTCTACTAGCTGTTGGTTAAATTCTTGGCGTTTTACTTTTGGCTTTATGTTATGTTGTCTGGATTACCAGACTGTTTGAATGGAGAATCTGTTGGTTTGATTTCCATTCCTATCTTCATGTTAACGAAAGATGGGCTTCTCACTAAAAAATAAATGTAATGTTATTTCTTCAACAATCTGTAATTTATAGAAAAAATGTGAAGAAACCCGCAAAAGATTGGGCCCGCCTAATGTAAGTTCATTTTTAGCACCATAAGCTCTAATTTGAACAATATTCTATTTTTTTTCAGTTCCTCGAAACTTCAGATTACTGGAAGAACTTGAAAGAGGTGAAAAAGGAATCGGGGATGGAACTGTCAGTTATGGGATGGATGATGCTGATGATATCTGTATGGCTTCTTGGACGGGAACTATTATTGGGCCGCCTAATGTAAGTTCATTTTTCATCCTTTTGGTTCCTCTTCTTGTGGTGTCTCTGATGGTATTTGGCTCTGTTTTATAAACGTTGATATGAATAGTTACAGACAGTTATGGAAATATCAATTTCTGCACTGTATCAAGCGTAGGATTTCACATCAATGTTAACAGAAAAATTTGTTATCATCAGAAGTTTAGATAATTGAATTTGAATTGTACATAACAATGTTTTGTCACAAATACAGGCCGGAATTTCACTAAACCTTGTCGGACACAGAAGACACTATTTCTTTTTAGTATGAAAACTTGGTTACTTTGACTGGTATTACTAGGGAATACATTTGGTATTAGTTTTGATGTAAAATATTTAAATTGTAGATGATATTGAAAAATTCTGGTTCTTCTGTCATTACTAGTTTCTGTTTTTTTTTTTTACCTTTTAGTCTTCTCGTTCTTTATTTTACCTCTCTCTGTTTTCTGATGTTCTCTTGGTACCTTTTGGTTTGGGCCTTCTTTTCTGTATGCTGTTTTAATTAATTTGAGAAAAATAGTCGTTCTCTTCGTTAAAAAGATGTCAATGTCAGACTACTATGACATCATTTGAGCATAAGCAACCAGTGTGATAATCTAGCTTATGTGCTTAGACTACAGAAGGACTGCAAATCAAGAAAAACCCTATGGCATGTTTATCATCTTTAAATTTTAATATGATTATGAAGATTTGAGCATGCAGTTAGCGGACATTCCTGCCATTTTCGTGCTAAAGGATTGAAATTCAGGAGTTGAAGTATACAAGATCCTGATTTCCTGATTGTATTTAACTTGAAAATTCACAATGAAAGAAAACTGGTATTTCTGATAACCTCTCTCATGTTGATAAAAATGATGGCTTCAGCGTTGTAGTGTCATTGCATCGGTGGAAATTGATGTACTCTTCTTTATTGTTGTTGTTGGGAGGGGATGGAAGAATTGTAAATTGAATGTTTTCTTCTTGCTTTTCAGACTGTTCATGAAGGACGCATCCATCAACTCAAGCTATTCTGTGGGCAGGATTACCCTGATAATCCTCCGAACGTTAAATTTCAAACTCCGATTAATATGACCTGTGTCAATTCAGAAACCGGGGTGGTATGTTAGGATTTTGTGAAGCACTTTTGCCACAATGTGACTGAAACCAAATTGACAGCTCATGTGAATGTGTAGGTGGAACCAAGCCTTTTCCCCATGCTTTCTAACTGGCAAAGGGAGCATACAATGGAGGACATATTAATGCAATTGAAGAAAGAAATGACTTCTCCCCAGAACAGGAGACTAAGTCAGCCTTCTGAAGGTGAGTTTATTCACTTCCTGTTATGGAGAGCACATCCTTCTCATTAGTACGTACAGCAGATTGAATATATTTGCATGCTTCTATTATGATAAACTATATATCTTATGAAGAAAAAAAGTATGTGAGCGTAGATGAGACATTATGGCCAGTCTAGGAGGTTACAACCAAGAAGGCTATCTGACTCTCCAGTTGTTCAATACAAAAAATATCTATATGAAAAAATGATTTGAGAAAGTACGCCAATTTGGTGCTAGAAATCTAGCTATATCCCAAAACATCTAGGTTCCTGCATTCTGTCCTCGAAACTGTTTGATTTCTCCTACAAGATCACTTTCATGGCATTAGCTTTTTGGAAAGATTGGTTGGGGAAAGCACCCTTGAGACTGCTTTTTTGAAGAGGCCTTTTTGATCGGAAAATGGAGAGCAGGATGAGCCATGTTCAGTGTAGACAGTGGGTCCTCTCTCCCTCGGTTTGCAGTTTACACCTTTTGAATGGGGAGTCTTTGGATCACATCTTTCTTCACTGGTTTTTTTTTTTTTTTTTTTTTTTGATCTAACGGTAGAGGGTGACACCAATTTAGACTGAATAAGTTACCAAAGTAGTTCCGCACTCTTTTGCTGAAGCTACAGTGAATTACCAGGTGAGAAAGAGATTCCTCACTCCTTTTACAGAGAACACACATATTAGGGGAGATGTTAAGGTGGGGATTCTTCGCTCCTTTATTCACTGCCTTTTATTAATCTAGGTTAGTCTTTTCTGCTGGATATTTTTGTTTTAGCTTGCTGTCTGAACATGCAAATAGTTCTCTACAAGAGCTGTAGTTCTTTGGAATTATGCAGCTAGAGTGCTCCTTTGGTATATTTGGTTGGAAAAAGGAATCTTCATACTTTTGAAGAAAAGTCTTCTTCTTTTGAGTTTAAGAAATGTATAGATCATTGCTTCTTGGTGGTGTTGTAATCACAGGAAATTCTTTTGTAACTAGTCTTTCTATATTATGAACAAAAGATTTCTTTAGGTTTTTTGTGGGTGGGGATTCCTGTTGGCAGTCTTCTTCCCTTTTTTGTTTTCACATTTCAATAAACATATGTTTCTTTAAAAGAAAAAATAAAAGAAGAGGAAAAGAAAGCACAACCAGTCTTGGTTCATCTTTAGAGCTTGTGGAAATATAAAAGAGATTTTGGGTTCTAATGGAACCCTTCAAATATCACAGAGGTTGGTGGTTTTCACATAAGATCAATCGAGGTATGTGTGAGTAGTAGGTCCGGACACTCATGAGTTGAATATCGAAAGTGTTACGTGGGCATGTTCAGTGATAAACACAAATCAATGGTCCAATGACTAATGAGGAGAGCATGATGAATTTAAAGCAAAGGCCTTAATCGTGCAAATGACTGTTTAGATTAGAGGATATTTAGTTTTTGTGGTACTGCTGTATGAGGATCCATCTGGTGGGTTCATGAGATGTCTTCCATTGGTTCAATATCTTTTTAATCATAAAGAACTTTTACAAATTTATCAGCAACGATGTCCTTGACAGAGCTCCGTCTTGTTAATGGTGACATGATGTGGTCGAATATGAGAGAAACAGTCCCAGTGGGATATTGTTGGATTTCTCGGTACTTTTGAGTGAGTGGCTGGCGTGAGCTAGTTATCTTATCTCTTCCTCTTTTTGACCATGTCCTACTTGAGTATAACTTAGAAGACGAAATTCTCTTCCGGGATTCTCCGCAAGGTTTTTAAAACGCGTATGCTAGGGAGAGGTTTCCACTCTTACAAAGAATACTTCGTTCTCCTCCTCAACGGATGTGGGATCTTACAATCCACCCTCTTTCAGGGTCCAGTGCCCTTGCTAGCACTCATTCCCTTCTCCAATCGAGGTGGGACCCCCTAATTCACCTCTCTTCGAAGTCCATCATCCTTGTTGGCATACCGCTTCGTGTCCACCCCCTTCGAGGCTCAGCCTCCTTGCTAGCACATTGCCCGGTGTCTAGCTTTGATACCATTTGTAACGACTCAAGCCCACCACTAGCAGATATTATTCTCTTTCAGGGTCCAGTGCCCTTGCTAGCACTCATTCCCTTCTCCAATCGAGGTGGGACCCCCTAATTCACCTCTCTTCGAAGTCCATCATCCTTGTTGGCATACCGCTTCGTGTCCACCCCCTTCGCCCTAATTCACCTCTCTTCGAAGTCCATCATCCTNGTTGGCATACCGCTTCGTGTCCACCCCCTTCGAGGCTCAGCCTCCTTGCTAGCACATTGCCCGGTGTCTAGCTTTGATACCATTTGTAACGACTCAAGCCCACCACTAGCAGATATTATTCTCTTTCAGGGTCCAGTGCCCTTGCTAGCACTCATTCCCTTCTCCAATCGAGGTGGGACCCCCTAATTCACCTCTCTTCGAAGTCCATCATCCTTGTTGGCATACCGCTTCGTGTCCACCCCCTTCGAGGCTCAGCCTCCTTGCTAGCACATTGCCCGGTGTCTAGCTTTGATACCATTTGTAACGACTCAAGCCCACCACTAGCAGATATTATTCTCTTTGGGCTTTCCCTTCCAGTATTCCTCTCAAGGTTTAAAATGTCTTTGCTAGGGAGAGACTTCTACACCCTTATAAAGAATAACTCGTTTTCCTCTCCAACTGATGTGAGATCTCACACTTATCAAGCATGTCAAAGAAAATATTGCTTTATCGAGCCATGCCTTCATTTCTTCCTCAAAGCCCTCCTCTTTTCCCTTTCCAATTTTGATCTATCATCACTGCAAATGCAAATGGGGGGGCGGGGGTGGGGAAAAGGAAAATCCATCTCCCTTGCTGAAGGTCCAAGCTATTACTACCAAGAAAAAGCAGCCCCTCTCTCCCTCACTGATCAATAGTTGCCTTTCCTGGGTAGCTAGATGCATGTCTTGTGATTTGTTTGATTTGGTAGTAACTTTGGTGTCAGCTTTTCAGTCATGAATTTAAGTTTGAAGAATATGCTTGTTGCAGGTAATGAGGATGGACGAATAGAGCAAAAGGGGCTAGTGTTGAAATGTTGCATTCTATAAGGTAAAAGGCCAAACATGATAATGTAAATAAACACAGACATTTGATGTTACTATTTAAGCAACATGCTTATGTCTACACGCGCATATGAATGAAGCTGAGTTATGCTCCATTAAGTGACATGTTTGTCAGGACCTCAATTTTCTTGTTTGCTATTTGCATAGCCTTCCCTTCCCTTTTGAACAGCTTACTGATGAGATGGTTTCCTTTCGGCTGTTCTTAGAGATCAGCAAAAGAGATCAAAGTGAAAAAGACAAATGCAAGCTATGTTAATAGAAATCAATCAAAATCTTTGTAGATTCTGTTCCCCACTAACCCCCTTCCATTCTGCATTCTCTCAACTTTTTATGAACTAAAATCACAACTTTCTAGCTTTTGTCTATCAGTTCCATTATTATCTTCAGATTGTGGAAATATATATATATAGATATATCATTTAACAATAATCGAACCCCATTTGGGAAATTGATATCAACCTTATTGTATCTGGTCTTATGGTTTTAATTGAGGTCAGTTTAGATTGAATGTACGAGATCAAGGATGGAGATCTAAGAGTATACATGAGTCGGGTTGGGTTGAAAAAATCTTTTGGATTAATCCGAAATTTTGGTTTGGTTGGATTGGTGAACCAAGCTACTCGAATAGACTTTATAATTTTTAATCTTTTTAAAAGTAAGGTAGGGATGAATTTATGAAAAAATGAAAATTTTAGCTCGGATTGATTGGATTATCAAGTCATATGAACATTAGACGTGTGTATTTTAAACTTTTACCTATTAGAGATATTGATTCATTTAAAATAACTATAAAGAAATTGAATTTTTTTGGGTGAGAAAAAGTAGAGGTGGGTTTAGACAAGGTTGGATAAGCATGTCACATGGGGTCTATACATATATTTGGGCATCCCCATGTTCGTTGCTACCCACAAATTTATTACATTCATTTTTAAACAAAAATCTTATCCTCTCGACTATAGGTTTTTGGCCTTTCATCTCAACAAAACTCTCGTCACTTTCAAATCAAAATCTTATAACTAACGACCCATTATTGATAAGTCTTATTATCTTAGTCTCAGTTTTAGCACATTGAATTTGATCGTTTTTTCTTTGGCTAATGTCGTTACGATGGTTTCATTCGTCTAAAATCATTTATATATACATTGGTTGAGAAAGGTTTAAAGTGAATATAAAGATTGTGGAAAGCAAATGATTAAATTGGTTTGGTGGGAGATTTTGGTGAAAAAGAAATGATTTTGAATATATAATAAAAAATAGAGATTAAAAAAATAGTAAATGGAAGCAGGTGCAGATGGACATGGTTGTCCCAAGCATCTCACCCAAAATAACAATCCTTCATTTCTCTCTCTTTCTATATTTAATTATCTCAAACAACAAATTCAATTATTCTTCTATTTGTAAACAAATATACGACATAATCAAATGTGCAATTTATTTTAAATACCATAACCAATTCAATCTTAATCCTAAATTATGAATTCCTACCTGAGCTTGTCTTTTAACTTGCACAAATAGAATGACTTTTGTAGTTGATCTAATTTGACTGTCATTTTAGAGATTTAACCAAGTAGATACACGAAAATATAATTTGACAAGATGGAATTCACTTTTTTCCACCGAGGGTAATTGAAAAAAAGTAATTTTTTTGCATGTTGATTTTGAGACTTAAACAATGGTAACAATGGTGTTTCACTCTCGATCCATAGAAACTTATTTTATGGTTTGATCATAATATATATATATATTTAAAAATCAAAGAGATTTTGAAGCTATATATTTAGATTTATAGAGAAGTAAATAAGTATAAAAACATATATTTTATTTTATTTTATTTTCATAGATATAGACTAAGCCTTTTATTAGTCTAAATGGGCTAGAGGTAGAAAATTGTCTTTTTTCACCTACCTACCGACCTAACTATTTATTCTTTTTAAGAAAATAAATATTACTGTTGTATTTCATCACACTATATAGTCACATACATTAAAGGCTTTATTATTATCTAATTTATTTTTACTTTTCACCCGTACCTAATTTGACGCTCAAAAGGGTGGAGCATTTAATTTCTACGGACTTTTTTCCATGCTTCAAAATATATATTTAATTCAAAGTGGGTTTATAAAAATGGAGGATCAAAGTCCCACGTCGACTAATTTAGGGAATAATCATGGGTTTATAAACAAAAAATACTCCCTCTATTAATATGAGATCTCTTAGAGAAATTTAAAGCAAAGCTACGAGAGTTTATGATGAAAGTAGACATTTGTGTTAGTTGGGTTGGCTATATCAACCTGCAAACCTAACTAAATTAACTTTCTTCTAGAAAGTCAACTCAATCCATTCTTTATATGCTGAGGTGGCTAACCACTTCCAAACCTAAACTTGACCTTTTTTCCCTAAATAAGGTTTAAATTATTATTAAACAACCTAAATACATAAGGTTGTTAGGAGTTGTAAATAAGGGTTTAATTATGAGTACAACCTGTGATTATTAAGTACTGGTTTAGTTGAAGAAAATTGTTAATTTAATAAGCGTACACATAAGTCGTTGGTATCATCATTGTCTTTTTCTTTAAAAATTTGATAGCATAGCTGCATGTGTGCATACGTACATTTCTTTATTCATTATTTATGTTTAATATACTTCCTAAAATAATGGATGCCTTTAATGAAATGTAAAGCTTACATTATATTACACTCAATGTCGGTGAACGCATGTCAATGCAACTATTTTAGTACAACTTATATGAACCTTCACCAATATTTTAACACTTTGAGTGAAGGGTGAGAGAATTAATCAAAAACCATATATTTGAATGAGATTCATTCATATAAGATGACTAAGAAAGACTTAAAAGAATTTGAAGTTACTATCTAACCCAACAATGTTGTAAGGATTTGAAAAAAAATTCTTGCATCTTCAACCTACCCATGAGGCCACGCTTCCTCAACCCTCCTCAACACTTCCACGAACTCCATAACCCCTGCCATCTCGAGAGAAAACACATCACAGAGGAGAAGAATACCCACGAAACCTTCCCTCTGACTGAATCTCCGACGAGATCTAATTTTTGGAAAGCTTAATAATATCGATGGATCTATGTGTATAGGTAATCACAAGGCTTTGTAACGTTGTGGGGGTGAAGGAAACGACAAATCGAAGGTCACAGGAGATAGAGGACGACGAAAAGAATCTTCGGAAGATGATTCGGGAAGAGAGAGAAAGTTGAAGAAAATTGTAGGCGAGTCGAGTGAAGAAGACAACCAATTTGAGTCGATTTCAGGTCGAATTTCGGTTACCCAGTACAAGAGCCCACCTGCAACGCTTAGCCCACCTGCAGTAGTAGTCGCTCGGCCCACTGCAACTATTCGGCTCAACCGAGCCTAGTACCGATGGCCACAACCCGCGCACCGTAGGAACAACCCGAAGAGTGACCCAAACTCTGCACCTTGACCCAATCTACGACCTGCGTGTCACAATCGTACTTTGATGGCAGTTGACTTGCGATTGTGCGACACTCACTTCCCAACAACAAGGGAGTTAAACTTATTCGTTCTTGCGTTGCCTACTATTAGTATGGTTAGGAATTGATGTTTGTATGATGACACGTGCCCGTTGTTCTGCACGTATTATATGCCTGACATATGACTACAATATATTTATGAAACGTTATGATTAGAATATGTTTATGAAACGATATAACTATGATATTTTTATGAAATGATATGACTATGATATGTTTATAAAACGATATGATTATGATATGTTTATGAAACGATATGATTAATATGTTTATGAAACATTCCAAATAAAAAAAACTTCTTATGTATCGTTTTGGAGGCATGGCCAAGCGGTAAGGCGGGGGACTGCAAATCCCTATTTCCCCACCGGGAACTGTAACCAAACAAAGAAAAGCCAGTCATGAATTTCTGAGCCGGAAACTGTTGGAAGAAGGAATAGTGAAAGAGATATGAAAAGATAGAATCGATGAAAGTTGCAGTGCTCTATTATTGTCTACTGACTTGATGCTTAGAGGGTTACACAATTCCAGTATTTATAGCTTATACACTAGACTAGAAATAGTAAATCATGAAAATCTAGATAAATTTAAATCTATTAACAATCTTCTAAAATCTTGGTAGTTTGAATATTTGAATCATATCTCAACTACTTTAAATCATATCTTCATTTTGAATACTTTGAATCATATCTAACACTCCCCCTTCATTCAAAGTTACAGATGTCAAAGTACAGAGCTTTTCTTTTGACAAGGCATTCATAAGTATGTCTACTTTAACCCGTACAATGTTTGTCTCAACTTGTATACCTTTGTTTCTTTGTCTTCCTCTATGAATCCTTATGGCGGTATTACATAAATCTCTTCTTGTAAATCTCCATCAAATTGATAAACAAGCCACCGCAATGGGCTGCATGTCCCATATAAATCTCCATAGAACTTTTCGTTTGGCAAGTCAGCCATATCCCATGTTTCATTTTTCTTAACGGACTGCATCTCTACTGCCATAGCTTTCTTCCCATCTTCTTTTTCAGTTGCTTCTTCATAATTCATAGGGTATGAAACAGTAAGAGCAAATTGGCATGATGCATATATGTCAGCTAAAGATTTATACTTCCTTGGAGGTGACTCATCTGAAAGTTCTTCAAGAGAAGAATTGTTGTTCAGTGATGCTGAAGATGATGAATTTGACACACTTGGCATTGCAGTAGATGCAATGGGAGATGCTCTGGAGTCGACCCTTGTCTCTTCATTTGGTGAAACTTCAACTGTAATCTTTTGCTACTCATGTTCTTTACTTCAATCCCAACTCACGCTTTCATTAAATATCACATCCCTTTTAACTAAAATCTTTTCACTGATGGAGTTGTATAATTTATATGCCTTTGATTGAGTACAATAGCCAATGAAAATGCATTTTTCAAATTTTTCATCAAGCTTTTGACAAATTTGAGGATGTTTCAAAGCATAAGCAACACAGCCAAAGATTCGTAAATGACTTACAAATGGTTTCCTTTCATGCCATGCTTCATAAGGAGTTCGATTCATAACCGCCTTTGTTAGTGAGATGTTTAATAGATAAACAGATGTTGCTACGACTTCTACCCAAAATTGGTTTGGAATTCTCCTTGCTTGTAACATACTTCTTGCCATCTCCACAATAGTTCGATTTTTTTCGTTCAGCGATTCCATTTTGTTATGGAGTGTAGGGAGCTGTTAAATCTCTTTGGATGCCCTCTTCTTCACAAAACAGATTAAACTC